TTTAATCTTAAAATGAATATTACTTTGCATGATAGATAGGCAACACACGAAAAAAAAAGACATAAGTAAAACATTGCTTTACAAACCTTAAGACTTAATAAAAACATTTTATATTTTGTGTATGAAAGCATTGTAATATTTACTGACAATCTGCCAAATTTCGTTAACATTCGCTCACTAATTTAAAAGTTATAGCATGAAAACTATAACAAGCACAAAATGGTTATGAGGTCGGTCCTATGGACCGAGCCCATGCTGAAAGAGTTAATGAAATACAAAATACTAATGTATTGTATTAATGATAACTTGAACATTTATTTGCAATTTCTCATTGATTGTAACTCATGCATGTATATCACCTCTGCATTTCTACAACTATTTCCAATACTGTGGCCAGATAGGAAATGAAAAATATCTAGTTGAGAAAATGCATGAATTTAGGAAAAATCTGAATAAGTTTTGATGAAAATCATATTGTAATAGGATCTGACAAATCAATAATGAAAAATTATCCATCTCTATATATGGATGAATCAAAACATTGTAATTGTTTTTACTGAGAGATGGCCATATATTAAATTTCACAACACAGACTGTAAACCAATGAATTAAAGTTACTCAAAGATGAAGGAGGAACTCATTATTACTAAATGTTAGAATATTTATTAGAATGACATATATGATTATACAAAAGTTTTCCTTCTTAAATGTTGGTGGCCCGGCATGGCCAGGTGGTTAGGATGTTTGACTCGCAATCTGCAGTTTCCGTTTCGATTCCCCATCCCACCAAACATGCTTGCCCTTTCAGCTGTGGTGGCATTATAATGTGATGGTCAATCCCATTATTCAGTGGTAAAAGAGTAGCCCAAGAGTTGGTGGTGGGTGGAGATGACTAGCTGCCTTTTCTCTTGTCTTTCACTGCTAAATTAGGGACAGCTAGCGTAGATAGCCCTCATGTAGCTTTGCACGAAATTCAAAACAAACAAACAAATCTTAAATGTTCATGAAATGTTCTTAATTGGAAACTTTGATACGAAAACTCTTATGACTGCATATCTTTCTGGCTAAAATACTTCCTACACGTTTAGATCTATCTATTGTTTAATATTAGAGTGGATGGAACAAATGATTAAATTGGTTTTCATTTTTTTTGGTAATATTTTTGTTTAGTACCAACTGTATAATACCAACTGCAACAACTGTATAGTAACTTTTGTCCCTCTCTGTATTGTTAAAGAATACTTGATGTGCTAAAAAAAAACCCAGAAAATATTCATATTAAGTACTTCTGGACAAAAGTAAGTCAACTGTATAGATTTTAAATGACATACACAACAATTGACGTAATCTAATTAAACAAACAAAACCCATGATAATCAAGTTGCACCAGTAGAAATGCCATCCCACAGGTCACTGTTTGTGCTAGTAATTACTAATTGTAGTATTTATACCTCATTGAAACAAAGTTAGAAAAATTCAACATTTAACAAGAAAAGTTTGTGCTCTTTAGTCATATGCAACTCATTGCATCAAAGTGATTCAATGTACAGAGCTTAAAATTTTCATAAATTTTACTGATATAAACTCTAATGCTTTTATATATTAAAAGTGGTACCATTTATTGAAAAACAATCGTTTTTTTTTAAACTCCATTTTCTCATTACTACATTTAAAAATTACACCAATAAAGATATAATCAAACCCTCACATACAGTCCTAGTGAAAATTATGTTTTTGGAGAGTACTTTTATTTAAGATTGTGTTCTATTATAAAGAAATGGTTGTTGCACATACCACAGCTATTTTTTTGAATTGTCGAATCATGATGGCAGGGGAGTTTTGGTTACATACATAGATACTGACATACATGCTATGTCCATTATAGTAAAATTGAATCATCAGTTGGGTATCCTCAAAGCTAACATTGTTTTGGGCTGTATTTAATAATACCTAAGCCTACAATGGAGAAATACTATTTTAAAGGGTAATATATATATATATAAATATTATTATTATAAATGTCATAACCAATAAAATGTAATGAAAATAATTATAAAGAAAAATAGATCATTACTTACAAAGCACATAAATGTTTCAGTTACTTATTTAGATTCACACTACTTATTGATACAAGAAAAGGATTGTATTTACAATACTGTACATCCAATATAATAAAGAAGAGTGAAGAGTACTCAATATAGGAAATAGTTTTTCATAAGTTTTTCTCTCTTTGAAGAGAGGTTTTGTGTGCTAATTTTTATTTGGATTGCATATTTTATTGTAATAAACCAATGAATATATATATCATCATCATATTAAACTTAAATATTAAATTTATTTACTTATAGTCAAAAGTGCAACCTTTTGAAGGATGAAAAAGATTTTTTTATTAAGAACAAGTTGACTCGAGGATAAACCTTTTCTTCAAATTTTCATAATTATGTAAATGGGAAAAATGTACAAGGGCATTGGAAGGATGGTCTCTTTGAGTTTTTAACCATATTGAAATGTAATTGAATGATGCTAAGATCCCTTTTATAACAGGTTAGAACTACTGCAGTTTTGATTTTATCATTATATATGCTGTTAATCAGAATTTTTGAACACTTTTTACCAAATGGTTTGATTTATTGTGGTTTTAATCAAAATTTGTAATTTTTCTCAAATCCAATTTAATGTAATTTTTAAGTTTTGATTGTCATTACCTTTTTTGATATGTTAGTCCATTAGTTTACCACATTCTGTGCTTACTGAACACGCTTTGTCTAAACTGGAACAAGGAGATAAACGTACCGTTTCTCTTGGACCCATTCCTGCAGTGGAGAAAATAACAGCAAGCAACAGGTGAGAAGGCACAACCAGCTGACCTGTTGAAATTGATTGTAAATCAACATCTGAACTGTTAAGAAAATTGTAACATGAGCAGCAGGTCATATGATTGAGTTTTTTTTATTGTGAAAGTTCACTGAGTTTGTAGAGCAAGTTACATATAAAGTATTGAAAGTGGAAATGTATATAGAATAATTTGTATTAGTTCTTAGGGTTTGATTTATCAAAAGAGAAAGAAAGCGTAAGGCAGTATTATAAGTTGAAGAAATGTTTTGTGAATTTTAATTACACAAACATGTATGTTATTTTCCCAGAGAAACACCTAATGCAGCATTTTTCAAAGTGTGGGGTGCACCCCCTCAAGGGGGCACAAGTGATTTCTTGGGGTGTATGAGCAATTAGGGTAGAGTCAACAGTGCAATAATTCAAAACTATGCATTTTATTATATTTTTCATTAATGAAATATTAAGTTACTAGCTGTGACCTACAAAACATTTGTGGTATTTTTTATGCCCTTTGCTTGAATTTTCCTTATTATGTCATTCCTTATTCTATGCTTTCTTGCAGGCTTTACGTGTTAGATTGATAAATTTTGGTCTACTTGAAAAATTTTTTTGCCATCAGACAAACAAACTCACATAGACAGAATTTAATTTAATAAAACTACACATAAAGTAAATAATAAAGTATAGTAATGATATGTATAATAGTGTACAGAGTATGAAACAGTTATGAGTGTTCAGTGTATGACACAAGTTGAAAGAAAGAAACTCCTGAAAACGACAAATAAAACTTGTAGTAAAGAAAAAAAGTAGCTAAAAGGTATCTATAGTAGCATATAAAATGACCTGAAGCTAAGTTATTGTAAAGTAAGGTAGTAATGATGGCAAACTTAGCTGAATATGCAGAAACGTCTGATAAACATTTGGTTTTGAATGAACTGTGCGTGCATATTTTAGACGTAAATAAGTCTAGAAAGCCCATAGCAATTGTATTTAGTGTAATATTAATTTTTTTAGGAAATTGCATGCAGATTAAGTGTTGTTTGTGTGAAATACTTTGCAAATAAAAAAACTAAAGTTAAAATCAAAGCCATTCATCATGTGATGATAATGACATTATGCCATTGTGTGCGATACTTGTTGCATTGAAAAGTTTGACTAAGCAAAATACAGGTAAGGTTATTCTGAATTGAAAAGTCAATATGCTATCTGTATTTCTTAGACAAAGATCTTTCTAACAATATGAGATTTGTAGCATTTGATTGAGACATTTTTGAGAAAAGTTCCAGACAGATAAATGTAAGTGTATTATTTATATAGATTACAACACCTTACAGCATTTTAATGCATATCTGTGTATAACATTTCTTTCTTTCTCTTAAAAAAGAGGGGGATATGCAAGAGACCATATTTATTAAAGAAGGGCATGGATGTAAAAAGTTTATGAAATGATGAGCTAATTTAAGGGCATACATATACCAGTGGCATACATATATTGTTGAAATAATCACTGTTTAAGTATTGTATTAACATTTTGATGAATTAAATTTTCTATATAAAGGTAATATTGAAATATAAACCTTTAATTCTAGGTGCTACATTAAATTACCAGTGTGTACAAGAAAGTATTGTTCGAATGCTTTCTTTTCTGTTAGATTACAGATAATGACGGTATTGCTGAAACTATACAACTACCACATCAGTTTGATGCCAAGGTTGTCTCATTTTTCAATATGCAGAATGTGTTCTAAGTAAGTTTCTCAAAATCATTTTGCATGTATTCTTTCAGTGTTGAATAGCAGAATATAGACAAACATAAAGTAAGTGTACTGAATCTTGTTTAACTTGTTTGTTATACACACACAGTAGGGGTTTTGTTAAGTAGAAAAATGAAAAGTATCAAACTCTGTTGGTTGAAAAGGTTTGGGAGGCATTTATAATACAGGAAGGGGAAGCAACCCAGGGAAGAGATCCATTACACATTACACTCTTGATGTAAATAATGATTTATCTGGCCAAACCAATTTGTTTATCATAATTTTACATATGACCACCTAATTTGTAGGTGTTAATGTTAATTCGGCAATGTACACATTAGCATGTGGATTTTTTTTTGCATTGTCTTCTAGCAACAAATGAGGTGAAACTGTTTCATTCAGCAAAGGCCAAAGATTGTTTTTATTAACATCATAGTTGACCGTATTCTCAGTTGTTTCCAATACATAATGCAAGATGTTGTAAATGAGAATCCCAATTCTGACCAATCCCAAAATTAGAAGGAAAAGCGCAGATTCAGTATGACATCATCCATTGTTTGGTGTGCTCTTTTGTGAGTATAAAACACTGAAAATTTAAGTGACAGCTGGAATTGTTTTACCCCAAGACTGGAAAAAACAGACTGTCATATCTGTATAAATGAATATTCACACACAAGGATTCTCAATAAAACATACTGGCCTTCTTATAAATGTTTCTATACCTTTGAAAAAAACTTGAGTAAACATTTTGGTTCCTTTATATAAATGTTATGATTTCCTTAATGAAAACTCATGAGAATTTTGTTTTATTTGAAATATAAATATATTTAGCTGTAAGAGTGAAAAGACATATTTTAAAAATATATGCCAAGATAAGAGATTAGTCCTTAATTCCACACCTACCAACAGTCTTACTCCAAAACAACTGGACCCTGACTACTTAGGTTTGGTTTTTAATGTGGAACTGTTACTGTCCTAAAATTAGCTACATGTTATGTTTTGTGCATAGAAATATCTTGAATGTTTAAATTTGTGTACTTTTGTGTAAGTTATGGACCTGAATTATAAGGTAGTTTCTATACCCAACTGAAGAGTGGATAATTTTGTTCATAATTCCTTTTTTTTTGTTATATCCAATCATTTATTAAAGTTTTAAATTCTGCACTCTTGGTGATAAGTTATATTTTGGTTTTCTCAAAAGATGAATCAGAAAACTGTTTACTTATTCAGGCTAGTCAAGCAAGGGTTTCAGAGGCTTGTCATTAGTCAGCGTTCATCATTTGGCTCAGAAGGAGGTAGCTTTTCTACTCCACACCCACGATCTTCTCCCAGAATTCCTCTGTCTGCAGGTTTTTTGCTTGAACTGCTTCATTCTGTGTATTTTTGCATGTATGTTTGAAGATCTTAGATATTTTTATATGAATTCTAAAATTGATAAAATTAATTTCAGACTAATTATTTAGATATGAAATATTTAGTGGAGTTTGCTATTTATAACATGTACTTATGAAGTAAAGTCATATATATTTTTGATTTTACAGTAGAAAACAGTAGCTTGTCATATTTAGATTTATTAATTTTAAAGTAAAGCTGTCTCTCATTATATATATATATATGTGTGTGTGTGTGAAAATTTATTGTGCGGTTTCTGAATATTTTCTCAGTAGTTCTGTTTGAATGATAGTTGAATAATCTTCACAACAGGCTCTCCAGTGGCACAGCGGTATATCTGTGGACTTACAACGCTAGATACCCATGGTGGGCAGAGCACAGATAGCCCACTGTGTAGCTTTGTGCTTAATTACAAACAAACCTCACAATAGCTAAATAATACTGTTTTCAATTGTACAGATGATAAAAAGACTTAGAATAATTTCAATAAATAATTGATAATTTTTTTTATAGAATTAAATATGTAGATAAAGAAATTGTAAGTGTCCTCAAGCATTAGTTACTGGTAATAGTTTTTAATTGTGTTTGTAAAAAAAATGTGTGTATATGATAATGTGAAGAAACTGCATGAGATTATCATCATATCTGAAAATACCTTTTTTAAAAGTGTTATTTGGAAAAGGTTAAAATGAAAAGTAATAACAGTGTTTAAAATGCTCAATAAAAACTTTATATAAATAACATTGAAATACCACATGTTTCAGTAGCTTTATAAGGAAAACGTGTAACTCATTGTGAATTTTAAGGGTGGTATGAATATTATACATAAGAAATCAATTTTATTTGTTTTCCAAAGCTGTGCATTAACATCAAGCTAACCCTACATCTGAAGCTAGTAAAGAATTTTATAAGTCATAGCACAAAATGTCTTATGGCTCTTTAATATTCCATTCACTTTGAGTGATAGGTTAATTTAAAATTATGGTTTTTTGCCATTGTATCAAATGATCTGTTTCAACAACGTGTTCACCAACTAAAGAAATTAGCATATTTTTGTTATGTACATAACCTATATGTTCATTAAGATTTCAAGTTAAGTTTAGTTTAACTAATGTATTTTTAATTGCATTCACACCTAATTTCATATACAGTATACCCTCACCTGTTCGCGGTTCCCCATTCGCGGCCCCGCATATTCGCGGGTTAGGCTCTTAACCCTATCGTATGCCGGTATACCGGGCTAGCGTCATAACGTCATAAAAACGAATGCTCGGTAAACCGGGTTTTTGTAGGTCATAGAGACTAAAAGCGCTTTTCGAGGGTAAGTCTGTATTTACTCTCTCGAGCAGTTTTTATCGATTGACGTCTTCATCGAACAATGGGCTGGGCTGCTATTGGCTGACTGCCTCAGCTTCCCCCACAACGCAAACGGCAAAGCACAGTCGGTTTACATTATCATTACTACATTAGTGAAATACATAACTGGATGCAATATTACTACATTATTACTGTATTAATGAGTAAGAGTGTCTTTAGAAAGTGTTTGGGAAGCATTTAGTACCGTGTATAATCTCATACATAGACGTTTTAAAACTGCATCCAATATTCGCGGGGGGGGGGGGTAAAGAACGTAACCCCCGCGAATATCAAGGGAATACTGTATACTTTTTTAATCCAAGATACCTTTTTAATCTTCGCTATTAGGAAATATTTTTTTAATTTTATTAATAGGTTTTAAAAATAGATATAATTTTATGTTTGCTAACCTCGCTATTGATTTGGCTAATTACTTCTTGTCTTTTTGTTAATATTACAATACTATTAATTTTATTATCGTACACAGTTTAATCTAGTATGTTGCTTAATAAAATTTTACCAGAACAAATTTTAAATGTTCTGTCTGTATAAGTATGAAAAGCTGCTAGGTTTTGAGAAAATGGGTGACATGATCTTTTATGTGGCAGCGTGGAGACCAAATATGGTTTCTGATAAAAGTTATAGTTCCATAATTATTTCTTTTAATTAATACATTCAAAAATGGTAATAAACGGTTATCTTTTTCAGTGTTATATGTAAACTGATTAGATTTCAAGGATCAAATTATTTAGATAATCAGCAAATGTTTTTGATTCTGTATTTCCAGTCCACCAAACCAATAATATATCATCGAGGAACAAGCAAAAGTACCAATCCTCAGTGAGAGGAAAGTTTAAGTTAAACCATCAATATAAATTATTTCATGGACTTTATAAAAGTTAATTGTGTAGCACTTTTGGTTTCACTCAGAGCCAAAGTTCTGAGCTACTTATACAACCAATCGACTAATTTTTTGAGTGTTTCAGACATACTAAGAGTCACTCAACAATAACATACAGTAAATCTTCATTTTTATTCTTTAAGTTATGTCGTATTTTAAAATGTGAATGATAGTGTGATTAATTCCTAACAACTTGGTGTAGAATATCCTGCTTGCAAAATAAAATTTGGCATCAACTGTATTCATGCTTGTTTTCCCATCATTTCAAAAGTGAAGTTTAATAAACAATGAAATTACATCAAATGAAATTGCCACATGAAATATTATGTCACCTATTTTCTCCAACCTAGCAGCTTTTCATCCTTATATAAACAGATCATTGCAAAAATGAAAGAGGTTATAATATTGACATCATTGAATGTATAACACAGAAAAACTATTATTCAAGTTTTATTAAGCCATGTACTAGGTTAAAATGTCTACCATAAGAAAATTAATAGTATAGTAATATTGTCATACTTACAGGGTGTAACTATTCAAATTGCAAGTGTGTTCAACAAACAATTTTTAAACCAGTTAACAAAATTAAAACAGTACTTCCTAATACTGAAAATAAAAAAGGTATCTTGAATAAACAGGTATATGAAATTAAGTGTGAATTCAATAAAAAAAATATATTTGTTAAACTGAACATAACTTGAAATACTGTCTTAATGAACATAAAAGTTATGTACATAATAAAAAAGATGCTAATTTATCTGCTTGCTGAACATGCTGTTGAAATGGGTTATTCCATACAGTGACATTAAACTATAGTTTTAAATGAACCTAACAATCGAAGTGAAGTGAATATTAGAGAATCAATAGAAATTTCACAGTGTAAGTTAAATAATTCTTTGCTAGATAGAGATGAAGGATTAGTTGATGTCAATGCGCAGCTTTGAAAATAAATATGGGTTTCTTATATATAATTTTCATACCACCCTTAAAGTTTACAATGAGTATAAAACTACGCACTTGTCATTTATGTTTTTACTTTTAGTGGTGGCAGCATAAAGCTACCAAAACATTTAGAGTCTATTAATGTTGACCATCAGCCAAATAAAGTTTTTATTGTGCATTTTAAATGTTGTTCTTACTTTTAATTTTAACATGCAAAATACATAGTTGCACAGCTATTTGTAAAAAAAGAGTTTACATATTGTTTTAAATGTTTTTATTTTCCACTTGAATACTTTCTTGCATGCTTCTCTATGCATATAATGACAATATTTTTAGTTTTCCATATTCCTCCATGCATGAGCACTTCATTGACCTAGTGTCTGAGTAAGTAAGATTATGTTTTTGTTCTTCTTTCAGTGTCTTTTGATAAGGTTAAAGTTTTGTTACTATGCGATGTGTATACCTTTCAGGGTGTTATTTACCATTTTCCCACAGAAAAGCCAAATCATCTGATAATTAACACATTACTTCCCTAACAGTAGAAAAATCAAATACATAGTTATGTTGGTATGAATGCATGTACGTATACCAAACAGAATGTTTAGAGAAGCAAAATGCATGTGTATTAGTATTCACATGGGTTGATGCAAGATAAAAAGTGCTTTTTGAGGGCCTTCAAGGCGAAGAAAGACCAAATTAAGCATCCATGTCAGAAGCTATCTATTGTTTATTAGAAGGGAACACACCACATTTGGTGTTTTATATCTATATATTGTATATTTAGAGTGAAACAAGATTGCGCAACACTAGAGAGACAAAAAAGTACAGTTATTGAAAACTTCTTGCTACTGACCAAAATCCATTATTAGTAAACATATATGTGACACATTCAGCAATGCTGCTCAATATTCATATTAAATTTTCAAATTAGAGAAACATACTGAATATTTCTTGATATAATATTGCCACTGGCTAAATTCACTATTATATTAGTATGTATATATGTGTATTTATAAGGTAAACAAATTGTGCTTCGTAGACCACTTGGTGGAGTTTTCAAACTAATTAAACATTCCAAAAATTACAAGGTGTGCTATTATTGCTGGCATAAGGTGTTATTCTTGAAGAATTAAAAGTTATTTTCAATCATTTCACAAAGATTAAGACTTAATATAAGCAAAGAATATGGTGTTGAACTTAACACTTTAACATGTAAAATACATAGTTACACAGCTATAGTACATCTACCTATACTTAATTTTATTCACCTTTGAACAGTGTTTAACCTTTGTTATTACAGTGACATTAAGATACTGCTACTTATTATTCTATCATCTCTTTTTTTTTTTATAGGTTCAATGGAATAGCTTCATTTGGAATCCAAGCTTTAGAAGATATAAATTTTCGTGCTATTCATGAACTTTTTCCTGAAGTCATTCAAGTACGTAAATTGTTATATACAAAGGTAAAAGTCATAACCTTGAAAGAAACAGGTAAAAAATATTATAATATTCTTATAATTAATAATAAAAGTTATTTTTAAAAAATAATGGAAAATTAGGAAATGTCTCAGAAAAATACCTTTTGACATCCCTGGATAAATATAACGTTTTTGAACCTACTCATACTTGCATTTTTCACACAGTATTTTGTATTGAGTAGTGAATTAAAAACAAATGCACTTGTGATGACATTGCATTAAAACAGTTTTATAACTAACTTTCTCATTGTTTTCAGGTTACCAATGCCATTAAAAATTCTCTAAAGGTGAATCCATCTGGTCAACCTAAAGATGGTCCTATGGGTATCAGTGTTGCACTTTCACCATCATCAAATCAATCCACATTGTTTAAAGGTGCTGTTACCAATGCCTCATTTAGGACAAGAAAATTGCCAGGTAAGTTATAAACATTTTTGTATTAATCTTCTCACTACAGGGTCAGTCAATTTAACCGAGTCATGTGACCTTTTGTACTCATTTAAAGTCTTTATAAATTTAATACTTATAACTCTCAATATATTGAATATATCTTCACGAAATTTGGCATTCTTTCAGTTAACCTTATTGGCCCGGGTACACTTTACTGCGCATGACACAAAGTTTTAGTGTCTTACATTCAAAATTTTATTAAACTACTTTTTGTTTATGTTATACTAATTAGAATAGCATAAAATCTTAGCTAATAATCCATATTTGAATAGTATACAAGTTTTAAGTTCTTAATTTTACAAGGAAATATATATAAAAAATCTTGAATTTCCACTATTGTGACGCACATGACACATTTTGTTTTAACATGTCATCATCCCTAGTTTATCCATCACCCCTCGAAAATGTACGAAATTAAACGTAAAATACTCTCTATAAAATCATTATTGCTCAAGCAGACCATAATTTTTATAGCCTTCAATAGAAAATCAGACCCTTCCTGCTACACCCACTTGTCACATCCTCTCTTTCACAATTCATTGATAGTTCTCTCTTACGTTTCATTATATATTACCTATAACCAATAGAAAATCAAGGTTTCCATCTATCAAATGGTGTACTGTATAACATTGTGCTCTGAACAGATAATTATCACTTTCACTCGGAGTAGCAACATCGTTCCCGTGGCAAAGTTAACGACTAAGATTTGTCCATGAATATATTGAGTATTTGTTTTGAATAGTCCTTGAGCAAAGTAATTTTCATGTTAAAATTAAAAATACTTTTCTTCATCTCAAAAATCTCAAATTTCCTTTGTGTTATCCCTAAAACTTCCTAAATTTATTTCAAACGTTTTCTTTCAGTAAAACTTTATAGTTTATCTGTTATTTTCTCTACCCTATCTCAAAAAGGGATCGGTCAATTCAACCGACTTTCTAACCACCCAAAAAAAAAAAAATCGAAATAGACCTAAATTAACCTAGAATAACTTCAAATTGTAACATGAAACTACATTTGTTTATCCTAAGTAGCTCTAAGTTCGTAACATTATACATCTATTTATAATTAAATTTTATTGTTTTATAGCCCTTTGAACTGTGTCTAACTACTATCCGCACCATTATAAGTTGTAAATTACTCGGGGAACATGCAGCTCATGTTACGCTATCAAATTACATTACCTACGAGCTGAACCATTTTAATTATATTATTATTATTGCTTATTTTACCTAATATAGTCTTAAGTAACTTAAAAAGATCTGTATTTTTAGATTTTATTTAATTTTATAATAATAAATATGAAAAGAAATAAAGTACTTACTTAATCTTCTTTTTTATTGCCCTCGATTGTCGAGGAGAGTTAAGCCGGATTTTTTATAGTAATGCACCAAAGATTATAGACTAAAAACATGCAAAAAAGTAGACAAAATTCACACCTCAAAATTTTCCTGGCTTTCTAACTACGTGACAAGAGCTGTTACAAATTTATCCAAGCTAGTCGTTAACTTTCTCACAAAAATGAATCTTGTACTGTGAATGAAATTGATGATATTCTGTCCAGAATACAGTGTTATACAATACATCATTTGATAGATAAAAACCTTGACTTTCTACCAGTTATAGAGAACTATCAACGAATTGTGAAAGAGAGGATGTGACAGAAGGGGGTGATTTTCTATTCAATAGCTCTGTAACTAAACAGAATTGAAGGCTATAAAAATTATGGTTTGTTTGAGCAATAACAATCTTATAGAGTATTTTACCTTTAATTTCATACATTTTCGAGTGGTGATGGACAAAATAGGGATGATGACATGCTAAGACAAAATGTGTCACATGGGTCACACTAATGGAAATTCAGGATTTTTTAAAATATTTCCTTTTCCTTGTAGAATTAAGAATGTAAAACTTGTATGCTATTACAATATGGATTATTAGCTAAGATTTTATGCAAAAAGTAGTTTAATAAAAGTTTGAATGTAAGACATTAAAACCTTGTGTCATGTGCACTAAAGGGTAACCGGGGAGATAGGATTAATAGCATGCCTCTTTGAAAGGATGTGTACAAACTGAAGATTATGTGATGAAATAGTTTTAAAAAACTTTTTTTTAAACTGTTTCTCTGATATGCCAAATACAGAGGGTTGATTATGTTATATTAAAACAATTCTGGAGCCTCACCTTGTTGCCACGTCCAGTCATGATTTGTTTGATAATTATGCATCTTGGTTATAGCTCTGCAGCATAGTTTCCACTTCTCCCTAGTGTAAGATTGACAGTTTTCAAGCATCTGTTTCAACAGTTCAGTCATACAGAAATCCTTAGGCAACTTGACCAGTATGTCCTTGTATGGTGTGAATACCTGTGCCATTCTCCAGCTGTCTGAGGTATGTGATGGTTGAATAGGAGATGTGACTGGAAGCTTTATTTTGGTGAACCCTTACCCTCCTAGCTTGTATTTCTGCATGATATAAAGGATCCAAACATTGGTCTGATAGTAAGCAGTGTTCATCTTGAACTTTGCTTCTACTTTCCAGATCATGAATTCCATTCAAAAGTTTTGCAACATACCACGTACCAATCTTTTTCACCAGTTCACAGGAAAAAAATGGCAATTGTTACAGTAATAAAAGTATAAGTACTTTTCATTAAGTGTCACCTCATACTTATATTTTTCTCAAGCTAGATACCATTCCTTGAGTTTTCTGTAGTTGATCTTCCTTTCTTTGATGTATATGTGTACATATGATTTGTGTTACTTTTCTAGATGGAGATCCTTCTTGATTATGTTGTGTACTGTTGCCTTATATATTGACAGCTTTTGTGTTATGGATTCTCTCCTGTTACAAGATGCTGTACTTTTTTTTTTTAACAGCTGAAATATGACTTTTTTGCAGGTTTCTTTCTTGATGTTCCTGTTGTCTCAAGTTGATCCACATCCCTTTGTTTTCCAATGCAATTATTAAAGTACAAGGGTTGAATAGAGGTTACATAGTGTTGCTAGTAGTAAGCATTCTGAAATGTTAAATGATACAACAGGTAGTAACAGAAATATATTTATATCATATTTTAATAAAAGTTTAGCATGAGATATATAAATCACAAACCAAACCCTTCTGTAATCTGAATATTTTATTTGGGTAATTTTTCAAGATTTTAGTACAGGCTGACACCATATTCCTTTGTTTTCCAATATCATTAAGTACAAGGGAAATATCCATCTTGGAAATTTAAATTACCTTGGTTTGAACACATCTTTATGATCTGAGTGTACAAAAATTTTGTATTGGAAAGGATTGTTACACACACGTTTCTTAGAAGTAGCATTTACACTACTTAAAAAACAGTGTCAAAATGTTGTTCTGATACATTCCATTCCTTCCACCACAAATTTATATTGGCTGTGATTGTCACGTGACTTGCTGATGTGCACAACCAATATCATTTTAATATAACTTATTTAACCTCTGTAGACCAATTTATATATCAATTTTAATGTTAGGTTTAACACAAACTTCAGTGTAAGTATCAGAACATGCTTAATTTCAATTACGAAGTATATAATATCAATTTTGATGAACTACGATGGAGAAAGATTTGCAACATTAGTTGCATTCCAATTGTGATGTTGACATTTTATTTCAGATGACATTCCATTACAATCTCCTCAGCAGGAGGAAACTCCTCAAAGCAGTATTCAACATCTTGCTTCTATTACTGAAGAGCAGGAGGAAAGTCATTTTACCAAAGTAAGTCCTTCTCTAACAACAAAGTCTCAGCAGGACAGAATTAGTGTTAGTAGCAAGTTACCTGTTTTAGCACTGTTGAAAGACAGAGCTAAAGCCAAAAAGGATAAGGAAGCAGCCATCATTGATCCTAATGTAACACCCTCAGTTAAAAAAGAACAGGATAGAAAAATAACTGGACTAAATCCAAGCCGATCAATTTCACATCAGAATGGTTTCAGCGACATAAACAGCAGTAGTTCTTACCCTTCCTTCTCCTCAGACCTCAACACTTTTACCTTACAGAACAGATTGAATATGGTTAAATCAGAAAAAGATATTACTGCTGCTTCAGGTCAAAAAATAACTGCAGCAGTCTGGAATTCCAAAGAGGTCAAATCTCCTCCTCCTAGTGCCCAACTCGATGGAGTAGGTAGTAATGGTCAGGTGAGACATAGCCAAGAGATTAATTCTCGAGTCAATCTGTCATGGGAAGTAGATTCAGAGTGTTTCAAACCATACCAAACACTAGTCTAATTGGTTGTATTTTCTAATATGTGAATAAATAAATCAGTTGAAGAATCTAAGAATTTGGTGTAACTAAACAATAAGTTAATCATTAAGATCTCTAATAATTCTACTGTTTTGAAATCGTTTGTAAAAGCAAAACAGTGCTTTCCCTTAGAAGACCAGTTATAAAATTAAATCAGGTAGTGATAGTCTTAAATTTTAAAGATCTGTTATCATTATATTAACAAGTGTCCCGTGTAACTAAACGTAGCAGTTTTTGTGTTGTTTTTCATTTAAAGTTAATGCTTATTAAATAATACATCCAATGCAGATAACTGAAATCTTTACACTTGATGACATTAGGAATAACAGATGGTCACTGTTTGATATGCTTTTAACCTGCTGAATGAGTTTAGTTTTATGGTTTGACTAAAATTGCCACTCCTCTACTTACACAAAGAAACTTATGTAGTAGACATTCTGTCAACTGCAGTTTTAATCATTAAAAATGTTACAATAATTTTTACTTGGAAATAAGATTATACAGGGTGGCATAAATGTCACACCCCATAGGGATTTTGAATAACAATAAAGTAATTACCTTTTAAGTTAATAAAATAAATGATCGAACTGCTGGCCATTAACTTTGAAGCACTTGTTGATTTCAATGAAGTTGAGGGTCAGAAATCTGAACATTTGCTTTGTTTTATTGTTATTCAAATTCTCTATGGGGCTCTACTTTTCTGCCACTCTGTACATTAACCAAAAAATGAAAGCTTGAACAGGAAAAGTACCAGTAAAATGATTATTGCACAATATCAATTCACTTTTAACATGTAATACACTAGGCCTAGTTAGTTGTGTGTAATTAAATGGATGTACAGAAATATGGTTCATCAGACCATGTTTAAAAATATGGAGGATGGTGACTAACAAATTTACCTGTCTAGTTTTCTTTTGTTTGATGTCTGATTTTGAGTGAACAAGTCTTTTACTCTATGAGACAAAGCAAACTTTTCTATCAGGTTTGCACTGTAAATAATCACTGTTGTACAAAATGTTTAAAGCTTCAGAAACAGGTGGTTCACAGTCTTCTACATTATGCTATTCTGTTTCTGGAAAATCATTCTTTTATGATGACTACATTATCTTCATCAATAAGATGTTCTTAAGTGAGAACATCAAGATAGTCTGAGCTTGTAATTCCATTTGGTAGCTTGAAACCTGCTACACACAATTCCAAGTTGTTTTCAAACAGTAAGCACTTGTAAAAGACTGACATGGAGCATTATACCACAGTGTGTTAAAGTTAAGATGCTGTTATTCATAATATTGTGATAATTAATCTTCAGGTTTTTATTATACCAAAATTACAGGGCTAGATCTTGTTTGTATAATTAGATTGAATAAATTCAAGTTTAATCTCATAACAAGTGGATAAACAAACTGCTTCTCTATCATCAATACAGTTTCTTTGTTTTTCATATATAATAATCCTGTCAAGCTTTTCAATCACTTTTATAAAAATATCACTGGTCTTCCTTGCCTTTGGAGAAGTTTTATGTTTGTGGATTTGCTGATTCATTAATATTTTGCACTAACACAAGTATTTCAAAACACTGTACTCTTTCCCAAACATCCATACTGCAGTTAAAATTGTCATGTCCAAACACCATGGTGCTTAAAACAGTATGTCTTACCTTCATTCATCTCTGGTAATTTTCAACATCTGGAAAATTAACTGTTCTCATCTTTCAGAATTTTGTCTTTATCCTTCTGTAATTTCATACTCTTTGGCTATGTCACATTGCTTTTTACGATAGCATTAATAAAGTGCAACCTTTGTTTGAATAGAGCCTTTTCATGATTTACACAGCGGAAATGAACAAACAGATAGAAGTTGATATTAATATACTGACAAAACATACTGCTACATGGGAGTGGCATAAAGTGCAAGTTAAAACGACTGAGCCTGTTTGCAGGTGTTTGTCATGTGTCATCGAAGGAAGAAGAGTGTGAGTTTATGAATGGAAGAATAGTAATCAGTCAAAAATAAGTTTCTGTGTGGTGCAAAGGAAACTATGTTCATCTGAATTAACACTTATATGAATTGAAGTATCTATCCATTTTTATCATAGGGATACAGGTATGGATCAGTTTAATACTAATCAATCATATTGTACAAACTGAGGGAATACAAACTAACGAGGTTTTACTGTATTTCAGTATTATTATAGAAATTTGAGATTTCAAAAGCGTATATGACTAAATAGTTATATAATACATAATTGTGATATATTATACAGAATTGTGCCTGTGTACATTTGTATGCCAACAAATAAAGCTATCATTGGTTAACAGGACCTTAAAGTGATTTAACAATACAAGGAAAAACATTTGAATTTGTTCTTAGCAAATATTAATAAAGGCTTATCATTGAACACTTGAGTTTATTAAAATGCAGTATTATTCCAAGAGGAGAACTGGCAATTATAGCATTAACTCAATGAAACAGGTTAAAGATGTTAGAAAATATAAGGTTATGACTTGTTTAACAATAAATAACGAGATAATGGCCAAGTGTACACAGAACTTGGTTTTAGTGATGAAAAGAAGGAAATCAAAACACGGAATTTTGTTATAAATGAACATTAATTATTCCTTCAACACAATATAAGGAAATGCATTTGTGGTATTTTATATGTTCTGTATCATTTTGATGTCACCTAAACCACATTTATTTATATGTCACCATGTTCTCTGTTTTTACTGACTAGTCTATATAACTTTAGTAATTAAACAAGTTTCATAAGGATGTTTATTGTTGGTCCTACAAATTATAAATTTTATTTCAGCCATATGAAATCAGTATTTAATGACTCTTATACTTTGATATGTATATTTAGTTTTACATATTTTATTAATGGTAGATAATTATATTTTTAGTTCACAGAGATCCTTGTAGATTTTCTCTTTGGTCCAAGAACTGGTAATCACAATTTCAAACTTTGGGCATCATTTTTGCATAGGCTGTTCTATGTTTTAATCTAATTATTTTCAGTAAACTGGATTTGAATGAACAAGTTCATTTTTTAAATTCCAAACAATTCCGTTTTTTAGTAATGGATGAACATCCTTTAAAACAGTCTGCTAAAATCATTTTTGACTACATCTCAAAATGCAAAACAGATATCTGAACTGAGGTATTGGCTAAAGTTTAATATATAGTTACAAATGGTCTTGCAGCTTTGGATCCTGTGTAAGGAGTTTAGTCTATGCATGTAATGTACTTAGAGATCAATAGAAGTTATGTATGTAATAAAACAAAAAAAAACATTGCATACTTTGTCATTTTACTAAGAACAGACAACTAGAATTCCTTATGATAGTAAATATTTGCTTAGTCTTTAGATTCTGGAATGCCTTACTTAAACTGCCACAACACTAAAAATTTAAGAATGAGAAGCTTTACAGTTTATTCATTGAATTTCATGACAATTTCACACAGCTTTCACAATACTAGTAGAGCACAATGGTTGTTTATTATTTCGGGAGATTCACCAAGATATGTACAGGAAAACTTGGAACATTAAAACCAAATTTAAGTACTCAATAACAAAAATGTAAAAATTTAGTTACAAAATGGGTATCTAGAACATGATATACCAAATTAATTACTATGAAGGAAAATCTTATTACAAAAATGATAGCCACCATGTAATAAAACCATTTATAAACATTCCCATACATGATCTGGCATTATCTGAGAACAACATGAACTGTAGTGATAGCATTTACCAAAAATACATATAAATATAAATACTTGGATCTCAATTAAAAAAAAATCTGTTTATAAAGTTCTGCATGTTGACTGATATTATAATGTAAAATTATTTTAAATTGAGCAAGTATACTTAATACACTTTTATATTTTTTGTCTCTGCAAAATAATACATTTAGAACAAGTTTTGGATGATCTTTAAAAATTATAATTACAAACAAGATTTTTATCATTTTTGCATTTGTTTTTCTTAAATAGAAAAATTTAACTACAGAAAACACTTCAGTAATACCACTTTAACTTATATTTTTTACACAATTTTAACTTGTATTTATAGTTGCAGTACTTTTAATTAAACTCTACTTGGTCCTTGTTGCTTAGACAAACCTTGAAATCACTGCTTTATAGTTGGAAACAGAAATAATAATTGTTTTTTTTTAGAAAGAAACACCAAATTCCTTCCATGTCTGATAACTGGAAACAAAAAAAAACGAGACATAGTTAGGCTAGTTTTCTTCCTCCATATTTAAAAATAGAAAATTACCAGAGTAATAATACAGTATTGATGTATATAAGCATATTACCTTAAATTCTTAATTCTATGTTGAGGAAATTAATAATATATCATTTCCATTTTTTTTCTAACACTTTTAAATTAAAGTTCTTTAAAAATTGAAAGTAAAAATAGGATAATTACTTATAAGAACATATTCTTTCTATAATTGTACATTTTTAGTGAAGCTTACTAAACTTAATGGGTATGTTGCCTACAATGATGGGACATGCTTGTACTTTGGTGCTTAAGAAAGTTTAGCTTTACTTTACAAAAGCTCAAATGAAGATTTGACATAGTGCTTTGATTATCCATTACCTGACAAAAGCTCAAATGAAGATTTGACATAGTGCTTTGATTATCCATTACCTTACAAAAGCTCAAATGAAGATTTGACATAGTGCTTTGATTATCCATTACCTTACAAAAGCTCAAATGAAGATTTGACATAGTGCTTTGATCATCCATTACCTTACAAAAGCTCAAATGAAGATTTGACATAGAGCTTTGATTATCCATTACCTTACAAAAGCACAAATGAAGATTTGACATAGTGCTTTGATTATCCATTACCTTAC